ATGACAATTTTTGTATGTTGTAAATTACATGTATTATTGAATCTCTATTATTTGTATAATCCTTTATAGGAATTCCAATCTTCTAAGCCACCACAATTAGTTAAAGCTAAAGCTACCCCAGAGAAACTTCTCTAAGTCACCCAAGCCATTGCTCTTGCAATATGCAATATTGCAATATTATTTTATGCAATATTATTCAATATTATTTTATTAATCATCTTGATTTATGCAGTAATAATTATAGAATTAGTGACCACAAAAATGTGAAAAATGTGCTAAAATAATGTGCCAAATTTGAATTATAACGTTTTAAGACTGATACATGTACATGTACATGTATAAGTTTTATGATACGCTATCACATCAAACTGACTCACATTAATGGGCAAATCAAGAAGTAGTATAGATTTAATTTTAATTTAACTGTTATTATTGTTAATTTTAGTTTTATTATTATTTATTCATTATTTATGGGTGTAGGTCATAGCCTGTTTTTAAGAATATGCCATTGCCTATAAAGCTTTGCTGCAGTTCCTACATCACATTGTACTTAAATCAGATAACTCCTCCCTTCGTGTTAAGCTCCTCTCATTCACAAGAGAGGTTGCTAGTGCTGTCAGTGACATTGTTAAGATTACCAGTGAGTTTAAGTAAGGAGCTGGTTTCATTGATGATATGAGTAATCCTGAGGTCGGAGCTAAACGAGAACCCCTTGCAGCTGCCACCTCTATTGAAGCTGCGTTGATGTATCTTTCAAAATTGTTATTGTTTCATTTCTCACTGATTCAGACCACTGATGCTCATTTGAATTTTGATGCTCAGATCCTTGAGGCTGCCAAGAGCATTGCAGCTGCCACCAAGAGCCTGGTACAGTCGGCTATAGACACTCAACGCGGGAACTGACAGAACAAGGGAAGAGTAGATCTGTCCTTGCAGATAGTCTGTGGTCTGATGGACTTGTTTCTGCTGTAAGCTTTTATTAATATTACTATTTGTGTACATGTCAGTACATGTATGTATTTATTTGCTTATTTTCTCACTTGTAGGCCAAGTTAGCAGCTGAGTTAGCCTGTCAGTTACATGTATGTGAAGCAGCTAGTGATGTGGTTTAAGGTGAAGGTAATGCACAGGAATGAAGACTCATTAGGGCCTCTAATGCAGTTGCTACTACTGTACAACTCCTTAATGCTGCTCAAGTTATGGCTGATCCTCACTCTGAAAATAATAAGAGATTACAAGTAAAGAATATGGGAGAGAGAGATGAATGGAGAAGAGGGACAATAAGGAGTGAATGGAGATATACAGGAACACAAAGCTGATTGTATTGTTATTATTATTTATTATTGATCAATAGAGAGCTGGCCAACAAGTCAAGAAGGCTACAGAGACACTTGTCAAAGCAGCAAAAGACTCAGCTGACAATGCAAAGGAAAGAAAGGTTGATGCATTTGAAGAATTAATTAGACATGTAAGTCATAAAGATATATATATGTATGTGCATGTATATGTACTGGCTATAAGGAATTCTTTTGAGAGAAAAATGCCATTATTTTTTATTCAAGGTCGTGACAAATAAATCCTTAAGCATGTTTTCTCAATATGACTTATTTCTTTGTTGTGCCAGTAGTATAGAAACAAGTAAACAGCCATCAAAAGTCAAAACATCAGAAAAAAATTTATTCTGTGTATTGATGCACATTACCATTTGCCTTTACAGCATTTCTAGTTGTAACACAAGCACACAAAAAGCTGCTTGTACATTATTATGTACTTGTAAATGTATAATAGGTCTCATTTTGGGGACCAATTTTTATTCAAGTACATTAACATGTGGAAGATAGTACACGTACATGTACATTTGTACTTCAAGTTGTAACACAGTGTGAATCAGCCTTTAAGATATAGAACAATAATGATTGGAATTAGTCTTTGTGTTGTATCATGGATTACAACTGGAATTTATATCAGGGAAAGATTTGGATTGATCCCGGAGTTATTACCAACCGTATTGGTGTCATTGCTTTCAATGTTAATATAATCCAGTATAATATTGATCAGTTAATTGGAGCATCAGCTAATGAACTGAGTACTATAATATACTGGAATATTGCTGCTATACCAGTTGCAAAAATTATAAGTGATTGGTTACGGCTTACTAGGATGCTACTGCTGAGTTCATCTATATTATTGTAATAGGAGTAGCACTGTCTCTTATACTGGTGTCTCATTCATTATTTAAACACAATCTGTAGAATGCATCACTGATCAAGAATCCGATCAAACTGATAGTTAGAGTGTTGTGTTATGCCAGGAAGCACAAGTATCCTGAGAATCGTAGTGCTCCGACCTACTGGGAGGAAGAGGCTCCTTCAAGACTAGACCTGGGTAAGGATAAATATGGTGGACCATTCACAGAGGAAGAGGTAGAAGATGTGAAGACATTCTTTCATATGTTACCAATATTCATTGCTATCTTTGGATTTGGACTCATTTCAACTATTTTTCATGGTGAAAGCAGTGAGGTAACACCGGAACCACTCTAAGAGAGGGCCAGCTACACCAATTTGATTTAGCTTAGTCAGAAGGTTAACATGAGAGATGCTATCGAATGCCTTTTTGATATCAAGGTAAACAACATCAATAGAAGAAGTTTTAGTATTAATGGAGTTAATGATATCATGGATAAAGAGTAGCATCTGATGCAGGACAGACCTGTTGGTCAGAAACCCCAAACTGCTTATCAGTAATTGTAGGAGTAATAAAGTCCACAATTTTGTCATAGATAAGTTTCTCTAATACTTTGGAGACAGAGCAAAGCAAAGATATAGGCCTATAGTTTGCCACATAAGTTAGAGTTATCACCAGCTGGAACCACCACTGCACAACAGAAAAATAGATCTATTTTAATTCCTTCTCTCTCTTGAATTTTGAGTAGTTTATCATAAATAATAAGGTTCATTGATGACGACTATGAGTTTTATGACAGCAAGTTCATGATCATGAAGTGGAAGCACGTGGTTGAAGTATACGTAGACTATCCAGAAAGACAGTATACGGAGAAATCTTATTGTGGGCGTTTACCTTATTGCAAAATGGCCGCTGAAAGCCCCGGAAAAGGTCAGTCCATAGATTATGGTCAGTCGATCCCTGGTTGAGCAGTGCATGAGTTGTATAATTCAGTTACTGTTATTTCTTTTTACTTATAGAATATCAACCAGTGAAGAGGGATGGACACTGCGTTATACGGGTTGGAGACTACCTGTATATGTGGGGTGGGAAACAGCCTGATTTTCCTGAAGTGCATAATAATGAAAAGAAGAAATCATTGTGTTCTATCATGGAGGTCTGCCACTTGGTGACTGGTAGGTGGGAGCAGAAACCCACCACTGGTAATCCTCCACTGGGTGTTGTTGGCTATGCAGCTGCTGCTATTGGAAATGAAATATTTTATTTCGGAGGCTATTGCAACCATGTTAATTGTTTTCACAATAGTTTATACAGGTAAACTAGTCAGTCTAGTCTGACCCCACTTATTTGTCATTTGGTGTGGTGCGACGAAGAATGGACATGATGGTTATTTATAAATATTATGCATGTATCATATTTTATACAGTTTTTGTGTTGACACCTTCAACTGGAAGGAACTCTCTCCTACTACATCTTGTCATGGTCCTGTGATGAAGTGGCGCTGTGCAATGATAGCAATAAAAGTCAACAGTGAAGACTATCTTGTAGTAATTGGGGGATCAGGACCACCATATAATAATGCACCAGAACAACCTGGTGCCCAGTATAGTCGTTGGTATAATAATGAAATACATTTTTATGAAGTCTCATCAGGTCAGTATAACAGCACATACATGTACCGTATTTCCTTAAATAAATGCCCAGGCGGCTATTTCCTAAAATGGTATTTGGACCTCAAAAAAATATAAAAAATAAAAACTTTGGCCCGGAGAGGGATTTGAACCCATGACCTCATGCACTTGACTCCTGGAACTTAAGGCGGTATCCACGAAGCTACTGAGTTACTTCTAGGCTAAATTTGCGTATTTATAGTTCAATTCTATTGCTACCCCAGCGTTTATTTGCATGCAACTCCTATTTAAGGATATACAGTACATGTAATATTGTAGTTTTAATGAAAGTGATCATTAATAAGACATAATATTTATATGTATTATTTTAGGTGATTGGATATTACCAACTGTGACTGAAGACAGACCACCTCCTATTGATTCTTTTACTTTAACATCAATTAATAATTCCAGTGCTATATTTTTTGGAGGTGAAACTGCTAATGGATTCAGTAACAATGTATATATTGTTAATTTTACTGATACATCAGTAGTGAGTCTATTATTAGTATTATATATTAATCAAATTATACAATGTACATGTATGTTACTGTGTCGGTATGCTTTATGATAATTAATTAAGTTTAATTTTTATCTTAGAATTTTTCAAAGTTATTTAATCCTGGAGGATCAGTACAATGGCCTAAGGAAAGACGTGCTCATTCCAGTGTATTGATTAACTCTAGCTCAGGACCACACCTACTAGTAGTGGGTGGTAGTAATCATGATCTTTGGATATTTGATTTTAAAAATAAATCATGGAAGGAACTGGTAAGTATAACATTATACTGTGGGTGTGGTTTAAACGTTTTGGGTGGAGTTTATGATTTTGTATGAATTATTGAGAAATGAGTTACTTTAAAGAGACAATTGTTAGTGAGTATTCAATTTAGCGTTTTACAAAAAATTGCTAGCACTAATATTATTTTTTGATTTAATTATTAATATTAAAAATTAATTATCAAAAACGTTAAATTAAATACCAGCCAAATGTCAGTATCATGAAAATTGCTAAGATAAGTACACGCTAATGATTGTCTCCTTAAGGTAATCAAATTTTAATTACATGTACAATTATATAGTCGGTTTTAGTTGAGAAGAAACGGAAGTAAATCAGGGTTTTTGTCATTAAAACATTGCGTGTAGCCCCGCCCAAATATGGCTGCAATGTGCAAGCTCTGTCATTCTTTGAGTGTTTCTTCTCCTTTAACTTACCTTACTATCTATTGTACCTCTACAGTGGTTGCTGCTACCTCCATCTATCCTTTCCTTGTTTATGGTGCCTGTTTTTAGCTGATATAGACCTCGGAATATGGCTTAATCAGCGAGTGTACTGGCAATGAAGAACAACTAAGATTGAGAAGGCTGTGGAGTGATATAGCAAGAATTATCCTCAAGAAAAAGCTCCTAGTTGAATATTAGTAGGTCTAGAGAGCTTGATATGTTTTGTTTTATTTTTCAAATAAAAAAAACATTATTTTTGACTAAATGTAATGAGATGCAAATGATATACATTGGAGTGACGTATATACAATTCGTCATGGCGGCTCTTTTCATCTCAATTGGAAGAACCCGTTTAGAACCTTCCAGAGTACCTAGAAACTAAAAAATTGGTAAGGATTTTTGGAAGAGACCGGCCATTATGCAGCTATACCAAATTTCAAGTTGCTAGCATTAGTGACAAAAAAGTTATAAGGGGGGTGGCGATGGTTTCTTCTCAACTGAAACCGACTATACATGTATTACATGTATGTGATCATTTTTTATAGTTTAATGTACCAGACAGTGTCACTGATAGATATGATCATTCTCTTTCCATATTGAGTGTGACACCAACCACTAACTGGATAGTTGTGTTTGGAGGGTTCACATCGTACACTGATACAGCAGTTATTGAACTCAGTGAGTGCATGTAAATACAAATGTACTGGCAATTTGTACATAGTTAACAGTATAACCTTTTAGTATAGGATATTATTTTGCCTGATTTGTTTTATTACATGTAAATAACGTAATAATTAAAAATAATGAAACTAATTAAAAATCAATGCTTTCCACTATACAGTATAGTAGCTGATATTATATTAATTGTCATTAATTCAACTTATTGTGTTACTGTATAGGATATACTAGTAATAGTGATTGGTCTACTAGTATAATACGTCTGGACCAGTATAAGGAGAAACTACAAGAAAGGAGAAGAGAATGGGAAGCATCACAATCAGTACAACCTGAGGATAGAAGAGAAATAGATCGTCTGATGCATGTACTACAAGAATTGGAAAAGGAACTACAGGAGGAGAGAAGAGAAAATGAACAAGTCATAACTACACTACAGCAACAACTTCTAGGAAGAGAACAACAACTTCAACAAGCACAGCAACAAAGAGAAGAAAGAGAAAGGCAAATTCAGGATCTTCAGCAACAGCTTCAAGAAAGAGAGAGGGAATCAGAGCAACAAAGACAAAAAAGTGAATGGGAGGTTGAACTGGGCAAGGAAAGAGAACAGGATCTTCAACGGCAGCTTCGAGAACAAGATCAGCATCTTCAACAAGCACAGCAACATGAACAAGAAAGGGAGAGGGAACTTCAACAGGCAAGGAAAATAGAAATTAATGCTTTGGAAAGAGAGCAGGATCTTCAACGACAGCTTCGAGAAAGAGAGCAACAGCTTCAGTGGGAAATTCAACAGGGTGCAGAAAGAGAACAGGGTCTTCAAGGACAGCTTCTACAAGCTCAACAGCAGCTTCAGGAAACTCAAGAAAGAGAGAGAGGCCTAGAGCAGCAACTAAGAGAGAGAGCCAGACATTCAACAAGTAAGAGATAAATCATTTAATTGTTTTTAAATTTTAATGAATGTTTTAGATGCTACTACTTCCTCCTCCGCTAATGTAGTACATGATTCAACGTCAGTATCATCCACTGAAGGAGCTAGTAAGTGATAATACTGTGTGTACATGTATATACTGACCTTTGTTAGGATCATCTGCTACTGTTGATGTCAATAAAGTAAAGAAAGTGATCAATAATGTTCTTGTATTTCATTATGCTGATCTCAGTTCTTTGAATACATCCCTCTTAAATCTTGCCAGTCAGTTATTTGCAGCTGGTCTTATTAGTGATGAAGTCAGAGAGACTCGTAGCATGGAAAAATTTATAACCGAGTTCAAGGCTAGTCTTAATTTTAAGAGGAAGTTACCTAAAGTGCAGGAGCACTGTCAAAAGTTCTTAAACTCATTCATTGCTGTAAGAGGCAGTTATGCTGATGCAGCAGAAGCTTTAGGTGAGGACTGGATTGAAGCTATTAGGAATGAACTGGGGTTTGATTTTAATATTGAGATTGATGTTAGATAGTAATGTAATTGATTTTGCTTGATTCACTTAGGTTCTTTTATTATGCATGTTTACATTTTATATGGCCAATCATGGAAAATTTTTTGGGTATAAATTTTTTATATAATGTGAGTTTTATGAAAATTGATTAAATTATTATTTTTGTGATAATTAATGTTAATTTTTTATTACAATAAAACTTGTGGTTCTGACATACATGTAAGTCCCAGAGAGAAGTTTTTGCCAGCTCATTAAGTTTAACTCGTCTCTTATAGTGTGTCCTATTAATATATTCCGTAAGTATATACTGAATCAAGTGGAGGGGAATAGAGGACAGAGAGAGAAGGAGAGGGGCAGAGGTAAGATAGTTAGTAAATGATATGTATATACACAGTGATATTAATTTATTGTACATGTAGATCAGAATATACCTCATTCTGCCTTTTTAAATAATAGGTTGTAATTTAATAAAAGATAGTATTTATAAAAGAGAATCGCTTTTAATAAAAATCATGAATTCTTTTAAAAGCTAAATATCTACACATACACATGTACATGTTCTTATGTGTGTAGAAAGTTGTTATTCTGATCAAAATTAGATTTTTTATGATATTTTAAAGTTGCACAACAATCAGGCAAAAGACCATAAGTGTGGCCCAAGACCCGGTACTATAATACAGGGTCTTAGGTCAAATTTTGCCAAAATTTTAAAGTAGTTTTTTGATGCATATAAAAGATGTTATATTTTGTAGAAAGATTGCTGAGCTCATAATGATCAAAATTGGATTTTTTATGAATTTTTAAATAATTATTTACTCCAAAAGACCATGGGCTACAGTACAGGGTCTTGGGCCAAATTTTGCCAAAATTAAAAAGTAGAGAATAATATTTGTCAATTTTTGTAACTTTTTCTGATACACATACATAATCTTATGTTCGTAGAAAGTTTGATCTGATCCTGATCAAAATTGAACTTGTTGTAAAGATCAGGTGAAACATAATGGATTAGTACAAGGTCTTTTGCCAAATTCTGTCAAAATAACTAGGAGTGTAGAAAGTTTAAGCTATTTCTGACAAATGTTTTTGAGTACTGGCCATTTTAAGAAAATACCAAAATTAAAAGAAATTACCCAAGGCTATAGCGCAAGTTTTTTTCCAAAAATGGCTCCAAAATCACCCCAAATTTTCATTAAATTTTCTGATGCGTACTGATGTCCTTATGTTATAAAGCAAGTTTGAGCTGATTTCGACTTCTATTTTTAAGTTAAGGCCATTTTAAGAAAGAACCAAAATTCTAAACAATAACCAAGGATAGCTAATAGTTTTTTCCAAAAAATGACTCTGAAATCATACTCAATTTAGTCAAATTATGTATTTTGATTCATATTATTGATGCCCTCTGCTATGTACAAAGTTTGAGCCCATTCCAACTTCAATTTTTTGAGTTATGGCCATTAAAGAAATATTCCAAAAAAGCTAATATTTTTACTGTTTTTTTTTAATTCTCTTTGTGAGGACGGCCCCATCATTTGCTATTTACCAACTGACAATAAGACAGAGGACAGCACTTTTTATTATGAATTACTTTCTCAGATTTCTCATCAGTTAGCAGTTAACAAAATAATAACCGCATGTGCACTAGTAAAAGGGCCTCATTGAGCTATATTGTGTAGTAAATAAAATATTATTATTATTATAACTGATGGTGTGCAAGTTGTCGTTTAGGAACAACAGCAAAATAACAATTATCATTATGTTATATAGCAAAAAAAATCTTTTCTACCAAAATTTGAAATCATCATACAAAAATACAAAACTAGATCTAAATAAAATGCTGTTCTTCATTGTAGTGGCACTCTTGTTTGTACAAGTTAAAATTATTCTGTATCAGTACCAATTGAATACAGTCATTGACGACATGATCATAATCAATAAGATACTTGTTATAGAACCACAGACCTTTTTTCATTTGATTCAGTATGAATGGAAGATCACTAGCACTGACTATACATATTTTATGTCTCAAGTATCCTTCTAAACATCCATTCTTTCTTGCACCCCAAAATCTTTGTGAAAATCTTGGCATTGCTAGACCAGCAGCCTTTAGCTTCATACGATTACCAGGAGCATCCTTCAACTTGTTAAGTGTGGCAAAAAAGAATTCCTCTGCTGATCTTGTGTACTGTAATCTTTTTCTCAGTGCTATTGCTTTACTGTCAGTGAGTGCATATTCAACAAAATCTCTACTTAAAACAGCTTCCAATTTCCAATTGGAATTTCCAATTAGTCAAATTTCTGCAAAAAATGCCAATTTTACACACTTTCTGCAGAAAATTTACAAAAAATGTTTAAAATGACATTAATTGTGCAGAAACAGATTAAAAACTGTCAAAAGTGTTGTGTGTTTGGACTGAATCTGTGTAAACAAAAATTAAGAAGCTTAAAAAGTTCTACAAAAAGGAGACAGTCAATTGTGATAAGTTTCTTTTTGATATTGAAGTTCTTGAAACTTTCAACCTTGAATTTCACTTGAACTTGTATCTCGTATTAAAGTAGAAAGCATAAAACAAAATCTAAAATTAATTTTGAAATTTCAAATACTGCAGAAGACTTTATAAAATTTCAAGATAGTGATGAACATTTAGTGATAGATTGATAGACACAAAATTTCTACTTTGAAAATTCAAAAGACACTACCGAAGACTTTTTGAAATTTCAAGATTGTGATGAAAATTTAGCAATAGATTGATAGACATGAATTTTTGACTTAGAAATTTTAAAAGGAAATTGTTTGAAATTTCAGAAGCTCATTCGATAAAGGAAAATAGAGTTTGAAATTTCAAAGTGCAATAACAAAAGAGACAACATGCAAAAGCAATACATGTATTATTACTATTGCTTTAAGTAAAAATAATTATACTATTCTAATTATTATACCACAGAATTACAGATATTAATAATAAATTCTATATCATGCACAAATGACCATTACATTGTAATCCTATTAAGGTTTGAGCAAAACTGCTCCATTCAGTCATTCGATTTTTGTAGATACTAGAAAGAATGTAAAACATTGAGGGGCTCTGCCTCCTGGCCACACCTTCTACTCAAGCCCTGAAACGTATTCACATGCATGCATACAAAAATTCTCATATGTAAGGACTTTGCCCAATTAGTAATGCGGTAGTGTTACTAAGTATGATTCACCCCACTTCAAATATGTAAACTATTATGATTGTTTGAAATTTCAAAGTATTATTGTTATAGTTTGAAGTAATGTACATGTATAATTTTTGTGTTTTGAATTTTCAAAGTCCACTAATGTATGTTTGAAATTTCAAGACTGAGTTTCAAGTTTGCAAGGCATGATTTCAATTTTATCAATGTAGAGTTTGAAATTTCAAATTCATATTAAAATATCTCAGAGGAGTATGAATTCTCTAATCAGTACTTATGACCAGAATAATATGCTTCTGCAAATCTGGCGTCTTTTGAGCTAAAATTTAAAGTACAAATAAAATATTGTCTAAAATTGGCTAAATTTGCAGAAAATAAATTGTAATTGGAAATTCCAGTTGGAAATTGGAAAGTGTTTAAAGTTAAATGTCATTAGAGATGATGGTAGCATAAAGAAAGTTTGGAAACAAGAATCATCCACACGAACATCATCCACACAAACAACTGTAGTACCAGAAGGTACATCAATATTATTAATATGATACATAATGTAACTATTGAGTGTAGGAACAACAGAAAAGGATGAGGATCAAGTTATGTTGCTACAAGAAAAAGTTAAAAGAATTCAAAAACAACTGGAGGAAGAAAAAGAACTTCATACAAAAGAGAAACAATTTCATGAACAAGTTAAAAAGAAATATGAAGAAGAAAGGCTTCAACAGAAAAGGAACCTCATTCAAAATGAAGAGAGAAT